ATCCCCCTTCCCTTAAGTCTGTCCTCTTTTGGGACGAGGGGCGGGGCAGGCGCTCACAAAAATCCGGGAACTTTTATTTAAAAGTGGGTGTGCGTCAGCGGAGGTTGTAAAGACAAGCACAGGTACTTCCGGTTAGCCCGGAAGTGGAGGCTTCCTAAGCTCCGCCCTTCGCCGCCAGCCAGAGTGACAGGATGGCGGTGCGTGCTGCGCGGCTGGTGCTTCTGGCCGGGGCAACCGCGCTGGCTAGCGCCTCCCAAGGCGACCGCGAGCCGGTGTACCGCGACTGCGTGCTGCGGTGCGAGGAGCGGAACTGTTCGGGGGGCGCACTGAAGCACTTCCGCTCCCATCAGCCAATCTACATGAGTCTGGCAGGTAGGCCCCACCCCTCGGCGAGCCACGCCCCTTGGTCGGGGCCCCGCCCATCGCGCCCCTGGTACTTTGCAGTCTCTGAACTTTAGTTTCCCCACCCGGGTTTGTTGTGCCTGTGAGTGGATCCTCCGGGATGATGGAGTCTCATCAGCACAGGCATTTTTAGTTTTTATTTATTCATTCAAATCTGTGTTTATTAAATACTTTATGCCATGCTGGGTGTGGCACAAACCTGTCATCCCAGGACTCAGGAGGCTGAGGCAGGAGGATTGCTGCAAGTTTGAGGCTAGCCTGGACTATACGGTGTGTTCAAGGCCCTCCCAAACTACATAGTGAGACCCTGTCTCCAAAAAAACGAAACAAAAAAGTTCAGAATGATTTGAACCCTAAAACACCCTTAGTTTACGCACTGAGTGCATTTGAGAGAGGAAGAAATGGATCCTGAGGGGCTGGGGATTTAGCTCAGCGGCAAAAGCGCCTGCCTGGCAAGCGCAAGGTCGTGAGTTTGGTTCCAGGTACTGGAGAAAAAAACCAAAAAAAAAAGAAAAAAAAAAGAAATGGATCCTGAGACCAGGCGTGGTGGTGCACGCTTGTAATCCCAGCACTTGGGAGGCTGAGGCAGGAGGATCACTGCGAGTTCGAAGCCAGCCTGGGCTACAAAGTGAATTTGAGGTCAGTCTGAACTGCAAACCCTGTCTCAAAAAGACAAAAAAAAAAAAAAAAAAAAGGAGTCTGGCTTTGGGAGGGGTAGGAACACTCTGTTGAAGGTAGGGCTCCCGGGTGGTGGATTAAATTTGGACTCAGGGCAGTAGAGGGCAGGGAGCTGACATACCAAGTACCCGCCATGTGACAGTAGCCCAGTTAACATTCACACCCTCTGCAGCAGCTTCTCCAGTCCCCGTTTCGGGTGGGGACAGTTAAGGCCTGTCTCCAAGGTCTCAGCTTCCAGCTCTGTTCAGCCACGTGCTGTCTTCTCCGCATCCCTTTCCAGTCCCGACAGCGGCCACATCCAGGCACTCAGGGTACTGAAGAACAATGGCCAGAAGCGGGGGGCAGTTGGGAACCTCAGAAGTCACAGTGAAGCCTAGGGTGGTGGCACAGGGCTGTAATCCTAGCACTCAGGAGGCTGAGGCGGGAGAATCTCGAGTGTGATAGCAAGACGCTGCCTCAAACAACCAAAAGGAAAAAAGGAAAAAAAGCAAAATGCAGGATTTCTGTGTCATGTTCATGGGAGGAGAATAAGACAGCCAGGACTCCTAGTTGGCAACAGTAAGTGTCCAGGGCAGGCATAAACCTCGGGTCTGTAGCTCACACCGTCTGATGCCAGGCTGTCCATCTTGAACATCCTTGGTGTCCCTGTGCCCTCCCTGCCTGCCCGTGCTCTCCTTACCCGGCGGGAGGGCTGCAGCTGCGAGCTTTCTCCCCACCCCTCTGCCTTCTCTCCACCCTGTGCCTTGGAGTCCACGGGCTGCATGTGTCTCTGGCAGGCTGGACTTGTCGGGATGACTGCAAGTATGACTGCATGTGGGTCACCGTCGGCCTGTACCTCCAGGAGGGCCACAGGGTGCCCCAGTTCCACGGCAAGGTGAGTCGCGGGGTCTGGGGACGGCCACGGTGGGGCTGGTGGGAGTAAGATGGCCCTCGGTCAGCCCGGCTCTCCCGGCAGTCGGCTGCGGGTGGCAGGTGTCCGGGGCACGTGCGTACCTGCCCTGCCGCAGTCTGCTCCCTTGCTGTGCTTTCTTTGAGGCCGGGTCTCACTATCTAGCTTGGGCTGGCCTTAAACCCATATTTAGCCCAAACTGGCTTTGAGGTCATGGCGAGCCTCAAAAAGTCTCAAAATGAAACACTGAAAAAGGGCTGGGGACACAGCTCAGCGTGAAGGCCCCTGGCCACTTGACTGGTCCCCTCCGTCTCCCTTCCAGTGGCCTTTCTTCCGGTTCCTGTTCTTCCAAGAACCCGCTTCTGCCCTGGCCTCTTTCCTCAACGGCCTGGCCAGCCTGGTGATGCTCTGCCGCTACCGCACCTCCGTGCCCGCCTCGTGCCCCATGTACCACACGTGTGTGGCCTTCGCCTGGGTAGGTGACCCGGCACCTGTGGAGGAAGGGCGTCCTCTGACCTCCCCTCGGGCTCTGCAGGGCTTGCGGCCGCCCAGGGCTGACGTTACGGGAGTCCTGGGCCGGGCTGTTGGGGATGTGGGGACAGAGACCTTGTTCTTGTCCCGAGGGAGCAGGCCAGAGAGACCCGCGAGCAGCTGCAGATGGGAGTGGTGGTAGCGCGCATGCGAACACGGGCTCCCAAGGCCCCTCGCAGGGCCTGGGGCGACCTCAAGTCCAGTTCAGGCTGTAGGCAGCGACCCCAGCGTCATGTGGAGCTCGGCGCCCTCCATCCCTCCGCGGGAGGCCAAGCTCGTCCATCCGAGGAAGAAGGGCTCACAGCCTCCTGGCGCCGGGGTCCGGGGCCTGGGACCGGGGAGACGTGGCTTGGCAGGACTGCGGTGGCCTCAGGAAGGGAGGGACATCGAGGTGGGTTGGATGTTTCTAGATCAGAGTCTCCCAGGTGGGTCCCCGCCTGCACTGCCCCTGTCCCCATCGCCCTTGGCAGGAATAGCCCTGCTTGAACCCTGAACAGCATTCCGGGCTCTGCGGTTGCAGTGCAGGTCCAAGGGGCCCTTGGAGGGGCCCAGCCTTTGCCCAAGTGATGCATGCAAAGGTCAGTGGTCACAGGAGGACGCCAGTATTGAACTCACAATCCTCCTGCCTCAGCCTCCCAAGTGCAAGGATCACAGGCGTGAACCACACGCTGGGCTGCAACACGGGCCCTGATCTCCCTGCCTCTTAGACCCTTCACCTCAGAGGTGTCTGCAGGAGGTCCCAGCCCCCGACACACAGCCCCTCATGACCCCGTTTGGCCTTTACACCTGATCCTGGGCCGTGTGTTTTCTGTTTTCTCCGGAGGGAGGGAGCCCAAGCTGTGAGAGGGTGTGGCCGGGAACTTCGTCCTGGGCTGGGTCCTCCAGAGCAAGCGGGCCAGGACTTCTGTGCCAGCACTGGCTCCGGGGTCTGCCTGGGCGAGGTCCTCCGAGTTTACTCCCTGGAAACACAAGGATCCTCCTTCTTGGTGGCAGAGGCTGGGCTTAAGTGGCAGCAGCCAGCAGGACCAGAGGCCACCAAAGCTCTGAGCGCCCGGCCCCTCGACTCCGCAGGCAGCCAGGGCCGGAGGCTGAGCCTGTCCAGCCCGCTCACGTGGGAGGGCGAGGTCCTGGGCCGAGGTGTGAGGAGGAAGCGGTGGGACCCCCCGCCGTCTCTGTGCAGTGATTTACGGGGACGGGGACTCCGTAAGAGACAGGTGGAGCATGCCGCGCAGGGGTGGGCAGACTCCAGGGAGGACTTCCGGGTGACATGAAGCCCAGCGACCCTTTCTGGTGTCAGAAGAAGCCCCTCCCATGGGTGTGAGCGGGCACAGGGACGGGTCCCGCCTGAGCCCCACGGCCATGGGACACGGTGACCTGGGTGGCGGGAGGGGGCAGGTGGCAGCAGGCGTCATATTTAACATTCTGCCTCCCCCTCTTCTGAGACACCAAGCTATTTAATGACCCACTTGTCCCCACTGCCAGGGTGTCAGGCCCAGCCGAGCCCTGGGCTTAGCACGGGGGTCGAATTCCTGACAGATCTGGCGCTCTTGACATCCAACCAGTTTCACGGCTGGGATATTTTGGGCTCAGTTTTCTTAGTTTCTAGCAGACTGAAACAGCTTCCTGCCAGGGCCCACCCCCGGCCCTGTGTCCCCACCCAGGGGGCGCCTGGCCCTGCCCGCCCCCATGCTCCGGTCCCTGGAGTGCCCCCTCCTCGGCGATCAGCTTGGGGAGAAGCAGTGCTCCTTGGTGCCACGTGGGGGACGGGCCGTAAGAGCAGGGCTCTTTCCGCAGCTGTGGGACCTGCGTTCTGGGGTAGAGCCCATGGTTTCACTGTGAACTTGGTAACCCTGGAGGAAGGGGAAGTTGGGGTCACCCAAGCTGGGAGACACATGGCGGGACACTGGCATTCCGAGACACCTGCTGCGTGCCAGGCCTCGGTAGCAGCAGCCCTCTCTGCATGGCACCTTGTGCGCAGTGGGTCTCAGTTGTCCCCACAGGCTCCTGTGAAGCAGGCACTGTGCCTGACCATGTTTGGTGGCTGAGGCCACTGAGGCAGCGATAGTTACGCATTCAAGAGCACACAGGTGAGCTGGGCATGGCAGTGCACACCTGTAGCTAGTCAGGAGGCTGAGGCAGGAGAATCGCCTTGGCCCAGGAGCTCAAGGCTGGCTTGAGTGACAGTGAGGCCTCGTCTCACACACACACACACACACACACACACACACACACACACACACACTGCTGTTCAGGAGCTGGTGCGAGACTGAATGCAGTGTCTCCCTGTGCAGCCTGGACATCTGTCCCCAGCCTGGGCCTACAGGATGGCCGGGGTGGGGGATACTCAGCCTGGACCTCCTGGGCCTGGAGGGAGATTGGGTACACAACTTGGTCTCTATTATTTTGTCTGTGGGTTAGTTTTTTTGTTGTTGTTTTTGGGTTTTGGGGTTTTTTTTTGTCTTTTTTGAGACAGGGTCTCGCTATGCAGTTCAGGCTGTCCCTGAGCTCACTTTGTAGCCCAGGCTGGCCTTGAACTTGCCATGATCCTCCTGCTTCAGCCTCTGTGTGTTAGTTTTGAGGCGGGGTTTCACTATGTAGTTCAGGCTGGCCTTGAACTTGGCCGTGTCAGCCTCCCGAGTGCTGGAATGACAGGCGTGTGCCACCACACCCCACAGACCTGCCCTCCTTGGCCCAGGGCCGTGGGCAGCTGTGAGGTGCTGTGCTGGCCCCCAAGGAGAGAATTACACCTAAGCCCCCCACTCCTGGTGCCAGTCACTACTTGGGTCTGTTCTGCTTGCTAGGTCCTGATCCGCCCTGTGATCATTCCCATTTTACAGACAAGACAGCTGTGGCCAGCAAGGCTAGCTCACACAGGAAGTGTGGGGCCAGGTTCAGGGCCTCCCAGGCTGAGAAAGAGGAGTCCTCATGATGGGGAGTCCCCAGGGCACAGGGCCTTCTCAGGGGCAGAGCCCGCTCCAGGCAGGTCTCTAGTGGACGGTGCCCGGAGGCCCCTCTCTGCCCATGCCAGCCCCGTGGAGCCAAGGCCTGGCCCGACGAGGCACACCTCCCCCTGCTCTCAGTGCGCCAGCCGCCACTTTGCTCCGGCCTCCGGTTGCCTCCCCAGCCTTTGTGGGTGACAGGAGGCCTGGTGGGCTGCCAGTCCCCGCCGCCTCCCCCGCCTCCACACTCTCCCGAGATGTCCCTGTGCCCAGGGCCTGGCCTGTCTCCAGCCGGGACCCGCTCCTCTCCCGACGGGCTCTGCCCACTGCCGGCCCTGAGGAGCCTCTGGCTCTGTCCCGCTGCGGGCCTCGGCCTGTGCCCCAGGACTGTCTGGGGAAGGGACAGTGTGGCCACCCTGGGAGGAGGAAGTGACCGGGCCTAGAGGACCTCGGCCTGGAGCTGCAGGCCTCTGAGGGTCGCCCTGCGAAGCCTGGGCAGGGAGGCTGGGTGGAGGCAGAGGACCTGGGCTTCCGGGCCTGGCGGGCAGGCGGGTGAGGGAGCCTGAGCGGTGTGGCTGGCCCCACCTGCCCCGCCCTGCTGTCCCCTCCTCTCCCCATGGAGCAGCTTCTTGTCCTGCCCGCTCAGCCCACGGCCACCACCTGCCTTGTCCTGATGCCCAGGCGAGCAGTCCTGGCCCCTCTGGCTCAGGCAGGCCTGTCTGTCCTCGGCATCCTCACCCCCTCCAGGGCACGCCAGGCCTGGCCCTGCTGCCCCTCCCTTGGGCTGTCACTGTCCCCAGCCCAGCCCACCCTTCCAGAATGAGGGTGATGCCAGTGCCAGCTCCCGGGAGACCTCAGCTCCCCCGCCAGCGGACCCGTACTTGGCAGCGTCTCATTTCCGGGAAGGCGGCCTCAGCGTGGCCCTGGCCCTCGCCCACCGACCGTAGTGGCCCCCTCTGCTGTCCCAGCCCTCCCAGGCCAGCCCCCCTGTTCGCCCCCCGTCGCTGGGCCAGCGGGTTGGGCCGGCCAGGTGGGCCCTGTGCAGCTTCCCAGGAGCCTGGGCCCAGTGGGACAAATGCCGCGCCCCAAGCCGGCTCCCGCCTCAGCTCCCGCAGCCGCCTCCTCCTCCCGCCCCCAGAGGCTGAGGTCACCGCACCCCCGGGCCGGGCGGGGCTGCCCTGGCTGGCGTTGGGGGGTGGAGGTGCGGCCCCGGGGGCTATTGCCTCAGCGATTAGGTAACTGGGGACCGGGCTCTGCCGGAACTGGTTCCCAGGCTGGGCGGGAGCTGCTGCGGAGCCCACAGCCCCTGTGGTTTGGGGGTGGTGGGCGTGGCCCGCAGGGGGGCACAGGGAAGCCTGCCCGGGAAGGGTGACAGCCACGCACCGTCCTGTCCCCCCAGGTGTCCCTCAATGCTTGGTTCTGGTCCACAGTTTTCCACACCAGGGACACGGAGCTCACAGAGGTGAGTGCCCCTGCCCCATGGCCCCCAGAGCAGGGGAGGGGGCCCTGAGCCTGTGGGGCCTCGGAGAAGGGGACTCAGGGACACTCAGGTAATAAAGGGGTGCCATCAGGACTGAGCCCGTGGCCGGGGAGCTCCAGGCTGAGCACTGACTTCGGAGGCTGCCTGGGTCTGCAGCCCCGGCTGCACCCGCACGGCGTCCCGCAAGCGCAGGGCACCCGCTCCTTCGCTCTGGCCTTGGAACGGCAGAAGCTGGGGGTGTGGGCACCGCCGGCCCAGGCCCTGTCCCTCCCTGTGGCCGTCACCGGCCCCATGGCTCCTCTGCGGCTCTCCCCGCCACCCTCGAGGCCTTCTGTCCCCTCCGGCCCGCCGTCCCTCACAGGCTCTGTCGTCCTCAGAAAATGGATTACTTCTGCGCCTCGGCCGTCATCCTGCACTCCATCTACCTGTGCTGCGTCAGGTGCGCGTCGGCCGCAGGGCCCCCCGGGCCTCCCCTGGTCCCCCACCCTCCACCCTGGCCGTCCTGGGTGGGCTCAGGAGGGCTGGGGCGGCGCTGGTCCATGCGCCGTGTCTGAGCTGCTGTCCGGCTGCAGGACTGTGGGGCTGCAGCGCCCAGCCGTGGCCAGCGCCTTCCGGGGCCTCCTGCTGCTCCTGCTCACAGCGCACGTGTCCTACCTGAGCCTGGTCCACTTCGACTACGGCTACAACCTGGTGGCCAACGTGGCCATTGGTGAGCCCCGGGGCCCTGCATGTGCAGAAACCCGGCGGGCATGGGGGGTGGAGAACCTGAGACTGGCTGGAGGGCACCAGAGCACGGAGCAGCGGGGAGGAGAAGGTGGCTGGGAGTGACCCCCTGCGCCCCCAGGTCTGGCGAACGTGGCATGGTGGCTGGCCTGGTGCCTGCGGAACGGCCGGCGGCTGCCACACACACGCAAGTGCGCGGCCGTGGTCCTGCTGCTGCAGGGGCTGTCCCTGCTCGAGCTGCTCGACTTCCCACCGCTCTTCTGGGTCCTGGACGCCCACGCCATCTGGCACGTCAGCACCATTCCCCTCCACGTCCTCTTCTTCAGGTGGGTGCCGCCCTTGCCTGGTGCTGGCCTGCTCGGTGCCGTCCTCACCGGCACCAAGGGGACCCTGGGGGCCCCGGATGACTGCCCACTCGCCCCCAGCCTGCCTGCGCCCCCATCCGCACTCTGCACCCTGGTGTTCCCAAGCAAGCCGAGCCTCAGTGGCCTTCTCCCCGACCCACAGCTTCCTGGAGGACGACAGCCTGTACCTGCTGAGGGAGTTGGAAGCCAAGTCCAAGCTGGACTGAGGACCTGGCCCCGCCCCGTGATGGATGTTAGCCTTTTACCTCTTCTGGTTTTCGTCTTCTGAGACAGGGTCTCGCTGTGTAGTCCAGGCTGGCCTCGAACTTATTGCAGTCCTCCTGCCTCAGCCTCCTGAGGCAGTTTAGCTTCCTGAACTTGGACATGAGGGATGTGGGCCCAGACTCGTGGGCTGCCCACCCCTCGCTGTTCTCACAGACCATGGGTCAGCGTCTGGGTTCAGATGGGGAGCCCTGGGGCCTGCAGCTGAGCGGCGTTGCAGAGGAGACTGGAAACACTGCCTCTGCTCGTAGCAGCCAGACGCCCACCACAGGCGCCTCTCTGCGGGAGACCAGGTACCAGTTAGGGGTAAGATGGGGTCCCCTTCTGTCACCCCGCCCTCCCCCGAGGCACCACCAGGTGGCACTAGATGCCCGCTCTTTGTGCAGTTGGAAGGCCAACCTCTTTCCCATGGGGTTGCTGGGACCGAGGACGGGGCCTGATGAGGGGTTGCTCCCTGATTTTGAGCCCTCACCTCACCCTCTTCGGGGAAGGGCCCCCGAGGGCACCCAGCAAGCGCGAGAGTGTGGAGGGGAGGGGATGCCGAGCCGAATGAGCGCAGAGGCAGGGGGGTCGGGGCTCGCAGGCTCAAGGAGGCCTGCAGTGTAGACGGAGTGCGCAGGCTGGGGTGGGAGGAGCGTCACACACACTGTGTGTGCGAGTCAGATGAGTGTGCCAGCAAGCGTGTGTGCCACAAGGTAGGGAGTTTGGCGCGGGATGGGGACCAGGTCACGGTCATCGGTCCCCTGAGCGCCAGCTCTGCCCATGGCCACAGCCAGGCACAGGCCAGGATGCGCCCTGGTCTGTGGGGGGTCCTGTGCACACGAGTGTGAGTGTGCGTGCACGCACGTACCCGTCTGCCTGTCCAGTGCCCCTCTGCTGCCCTCCAAACCTCACAGGAGCGCCAGACAAGTTTTTTGGGTTTTTATTTTATTTTGTTTTTGAGACGGTCTGCTACGTAGTCAGGCTGGCCTTAAACTCACTATGTAGCCCAGGCAGGTCTTGAACTCATGGGGATCTTCTTGCCTCAGCCTCCTGAGTACTGAGACTGCAGGCTGCGCCACCATGCCTGGCTCCACCGCACAACTAAAGAGCCCCCAGAACCAGTCCCTGCAGGGCAGGGCAGGGTGTGGGGAGGAACACGGGGTCCACCCTCTCCAACCTCCCCGTCTCCTTGGCAAGGCATAGTTGGCCTCCCCTCCTCTGTGCCAGCCTGGACTCGGGGGCAGCAGGCATTTGCGGGGAGGAGGGGCAAAAGCTGTGGCTGAGTCTGGCTCAGGCTCCCTATCCAGGGTGGCTCAGGGCAGGCTGGGGCCACGGCACCCGAACCCCGGCACGGGTGACTGGTGGCTTTGCCGGCTGTCCTGGCATGGCCTCCCACAAGCACAGAGTGTGCAGCCACAGAAGCATTCCGTCCCTGGCACCCTGAGATGGGGCCGGGGCCGGGTTCCTGCTGTCCGCGCCCCCTGCCTCCTGGTGCTGCATGGGGAGGGGCTCGGGGCCTTGTTAAATTCTTTGGGGACCGAACACCTTAAGGGGGCAGCACAGGAAGGGGCGTGTGCAATAAACCAGCTCTGCACCTGTCCAGCTCGCTTGTGTCCTGGGTGGCCTGGAGGGAGGGGGTCACAGTGCTGGCCACGGGCAGTGACGAGGAGGGGGGCGGGGGTCAGAGCTCTGCAGAGGCCCTGGCCAGCCAGGGGAGCCAGGGGGACCCAGTGCCAGCGCTGGGTCTTGCCCTCTGCTTCCCAGGCCTGGTCCACAGGCCACCTCCCACCACCCTGCAATTCGGGGTTGAGTGTCCGGGGACCAAGGGCGGGGATGCGTGGCCCAGACCACGGGCCGCTGTGGCTGGGGGAGAGCGGGAGGGGCGGGAAGCTTGCGGAGGGAAAGCGGAGGCAGTGCCTCCTTTACTGGCGCTCAGATCACCACGGCCTCCACGCTCAGAGCAGGAGCGGCGGCTTTATTAGGTGCCACGTTGAGTACCAGGGCGTCTGAGCTTGCCCCAGACCATCATACCGCCACGCCCGCCTTCTTCTGGGCCCAGGCGAAGAAGACCCCCTGGACGTCATCCACGCCGGTCCGGAGGTGTGCAGGCATGGTATAGGTGCGCAGGTCCCGGACCTCGTATCCTCCACGCACCAGGGCCTCGCGCACCATCCCCGCACTCACGGGCACCACCCCCAGCCTGACCTCCCCAGCCTGGTACCACGACTCCTCCAGGCCCCCGATGAGGAGCAGATGCCCCCCGGGCTTCAGCAGCGTGGTGACGTGGCCCAGCGCCCGGTGGAAGCTGGCCAGGTCGGGGCTCACAGCCTCCAGGCAGAAGGCGGAGACCAGGGCATCAGCGGGCAGGGGCGCGGGGCTGGCGGTGCCCAGGGGCTGGGGCTGGTGCACGTCGATGGGCAGCACACGCTTCACCCGGGCTCGCAGCTGGCGCTCCTTCTCCTGCCAGGACTCGCTGGGCGGGGGTGCGAGGTGGGCTCAGGGCTGCCCTATCGCCCCTCCTCCAAGGCCCCCGGCCCTGCCCTGCCCTGCCCTGCCTTACCCCCTGCCCTCCATGAGGCACGCGTGCCAGCTGTACGCGCTCCAGTCGAAGGCCTCCGGCTCCTCGCGCAGCCACCGCCCCAGCTCTCGGCGGTTGACGTCCAGGAAATCCGTCATGGTGATGTCCTCGAAGTGGGCGCAGGCGCTGAGCAGCTGGTACACGGTGGGGCCGGAGCCGATGTCGATGAGGGTGCGCCCGGTCACCTCCCCTGGGCAGGCACAGGGAGGGCCTCTGTGCCGGGCTGGCTGGTGACCCTGGCCTTGGGGAGCCTCGCCCTCCAGTTGGGAAGAAGGGCTGGCTCCAGGGTCGGACCAGACCAGGCTGCCTGGGCTCCAGCACCGACCTCTGACCTCGGGAGCGGAGCTCGGCCCCTCCAGACCCCGTTCCACATCTAGGGAGCCACATCTCCAAGGAGGGTTATGTGAGGAGATCCCAGCGCCCGGCGAGCCTCTCCCCGCAGTCCCTCCCGCATCCCCATCTGACCCCATCTGGAGCATTCTCCCCTCGCTGTCCTCTGCCTCTCTGCGCTCCTCTCCCCTCTGCTGAGACAGGGTTTTGCTGGGTGTGGTAGCACACACCTGTGATCCCTTTACTGGAGAGGCTGAGGCAGGAGGATTGCGTTGAGCTAGAGGGCAGCCTAAGCTATAAGGTATCTTCAAAGCCAGCACGAACTGTCTATCGAGACCCTAGAGACAGAGAGACAGACGCAGGCAGGCAGGCTCCTGCCGTGTTGCCCACACTGGCCTGTAACTCCTGGGCGACCCTCCTGCCTCAGCTCCCCAGTATGACTGTAGGCAAGGCCACCAGCCCATGGTTCGCTCCTGGCTGCACCTGCTGGCCCTGGTCCCTATCCTTGAGCCGTGGTCCCCAAACGTGCGCCCTGGTGCCCCTTTGCGCGCCCCTGTTGCTGTCTGCTGACTCCGCCCCCCTGGGCCTCAGTTTCCCGGGCTCACCGGTGGCAAAAGTCTCTGCCAGGCATTGCAGCTTCCAAGGCCCGACGCCACCCGGGCGGCTGAGGTCGCCGCGCGGGGGCGCGTAGTTGTTGCGCAAGTAGGCGGCAGGCTGGAAGCGCTGGTAGGCGGCAGCCACACTCACGAGGCTGGGGTCCTCCTGGCTCATCGCGGAGGCGCTGGTCGGCTACCTGCTACCGGAGCCCCTTTATCTCCGCCCCGCCCCTCCCCGCCCCTCCCTGCGGGGGCGGCTGAGCAATGAGTGCCCCTGGGCCACGCGCTTCGCCACTGTCCATCTCCTGTCCCTGCTGCAGACATGCGGGGTGGGGGCGTGGGGGGAGCCTGCCTGGACATCGAGTCCTGCAGCCCAGACGCAGCCCCACGTGCCCTGGCGGTCCTGCCCCATGCCCATTACCCACTCCCACTTTCTGTTGAGTTTTGAGACAGGGTCTTGCTGTGTCTCCCAGGATGCACTCACTATGTAGCCCACGCTGGCCCCAACTCCTGTGATCCTCCTGCCTCAGCCTCCCAACTGCTGGGATGACAGGCAAGCATCCTGCCCATTGACCCCTTGTGCCCAGCGTCTTATCCCTTCTCTTCCCTAAGGTTTGAATGAGCCCCTGTCCCTGGTCCCCACCACCCCGGCGCCCTCCCCAAGGGGTTCAGACCATCCCACGCCCCTTCCTCTGGACCGCCCCTCCCTGAGCGCTGTCAGCACAGCTGCCTGCTCAGCCCCTCCTCTGGGACAGTGAGTTCAGGCCTGGCCGGTCCTGTTGCCCCAGGCCTTGGCGATGGTAGCCGTGATAGCAGAGGAGAGTGGCACTAATGCACAGGGTGGGGACACCGGGCCTCCCGGGGCTGGCAGCTTCCGTGGGGCCCAGGGATGGAGGTTTGGAACGTCCTGGCCCTGGAGTCAGGACGGCCTGGGGACAGGGTTGGGGGGGGGGCGTTCTCCAGCCCTGCCCCCTGAGCTGGCCTGCTCTGGCCTGCAGGTCCTGCTTGGTGTTGTGCCAGCTCCTGCAGGCTTCCCCCTCCTGCCCAGTGGGAAGTGGATTCCGGTTTGTTGTTGTTTTGTTTTTCTGCATTTTTCCTACAGGGTCTCCTCGTTATGTAGTCCAGGCTGGCCTTAAATTGGCAGTGATCCTCGCCAGCCTTGGGAGCTGATTCTTTCTGCAGTGAGGCTCTGGGCTTCCTGAGATGGGGCTCGTGCCCCTCTGCCCCAAGTAGGTGCCAGGCCTCTGCCAAGATGGGCCCTTAGCCTCCGCTGGTCCAGCCCCCTGTGGACCCTGTTCTGGGTCGAAGAGGAAGTGTCCTTGCTGGGACATGAGTCATCCCAACAGCTGCAGGTCACAGACGGAACCTGAGCTCACCCCCGCCCCACAATCTGCCCAGCCTGGAGGGCGGAGCCCTGGGCCCCGCCAGCCCCCAATTCTGTTTGGGTCTGTGCTACGCCTCAAGGTCACCGACCCCATCCACAGCAGGCATAGCCAAGGACAGTCCTAGTGCCAGCCTGCCATGTTCTCCGTGTCATTTAAACAAACTCTAATGCCAGCTGGCCTTCTGGGCACTGTCCAGTGCCAGGGAGTGGACTCGGGAGCCAGAACCACTGGGGAAGGGCGCTGGCAGCGCAGCTCTGCTGCACCCGTCCTGGGGTCCTGGGAAGCAAGAGGCAGAAACGGGACGCGGCTGAGCATTTATTGCAGCGCTAAGAGGGTGCCGGGCTGCCTGCCTCTGCTCTCTGCACGTCCCCCACCTGTCTCCACCCGCTGCTTTCTGGAGCCTTCCAGTCTGGCTCAGGCCTCCCTTGAGGCTCCGACCTCCACAGCACTGCCACCCCCAGCGACATCACCAGCGTCCCTTGTCCGTTCTCCTGGGGCCGAGGCCACCCCCAGTGCCCACCATCCTTGCCCTCCTGTCTTGGGGAGCTCAGGCAACCCAGGCGTCCTGGCCTCTGGCTCCCTCCTCCCAGCCCCCATTCTGGGCAAACTACAAAGCACCCACGGCCAGCAGCTCCCTCCACGGCCCCAGCCAGGAAGGGCCCTGCCCGGGGCAGGCACGGCGGAGCTGGCGTCACCCGCTCCTCAGCCTCTCTGCGCCTCCTGGGACATGGACCGGGACAGCGTGCGCCGCAGGGTCCCTGGCTTGCTGACGGACACCACGGGTGGCAGCTGCTTGGTGATCTCGGCCACGTCCTGGCGATCCAGGCACTGGCCGCCCAGGGCCGTCTCCAGCGCCAGCAGCTCCCTCAGCTGGACGGGGGTCTCCTCGCGCTCCTCCTTGGCAGCCCCAACCTTGGCGGGCGTGAAGATGGGCAGCGGCAGCACCCGCTGGTAGGGCAGCTGGTACTCCTGCAGCCCGCGGCCCAGGATGCCCATCCGCATCACCAGCCAGGGTGACCGCTGCACCAGCGCCTGGCACTGGCCCTGCCGGTGGTAGGTCTCATGCCGCAGGGCGTCCTCCTCGTGCAGGGAGCAGCTGTGGGCGGGGAGGCAGCGGGTGGTGAGTCCACTGCGGGGTTGGCGGGGTCCCCCTCCCTGGGTACTGCCAGCACCCGACACCGGGAACCTCGGGCTCCTACGGCCCTGGGAGCCGCGTGGGGCACTCACCCCTCTTCGGGCCGTGTGGACAGGCTCAGGTCCTTCCACTCGGCCCAGAAGGCCTCCCGCCGCTCCTGGTCCTCCTCCGACACCTGGCAGCTCAGCTCCGAAGTGGCCATACTCGCTGCCGCTCCCTGGGCCCGGCGGGCTCCCCGGGCCTTTAAATAGCCCCTCTCCCCCTTTCCAGGGGCTATTTTCAGCCCCTCTGGCGTCAGATGCTATAAGCAGCTCGACACTCACTGACCTGAGGGGGCTGTGAGTCTGGGGCAGGGGGTGGGGTGCCCAGACTCCGGCTGCCCCCGGGTCAGAGGTCAGCCTCCAGAGGTACCAAGATGCTCCGGTGGGGCCTGGGGTACTGTGGGCAGCACCCCAGGTGTCTGACACTCTGCAAACACCAGTCGGCAGGCACGTGCCGAGCCCCGTGACGCCCTGGCGGTGCTCTGCGCCACCCACTCCCCTGGCCCAGGGTCACGGCAGTGCTTCCCGTAAACAGCAGGGGACAGCAGTCACTGACACCCCCGCACCGTGACGGGCACGGGCCCCTCCCCGCTCTCCCAGGTCAAGGGCACACCCCCGCCCCAGCCCCTTGACCAGAAGGTTCTCTGCCACCACTGCCACTCCAGCAGGGGAGGGGACATTAATGCCACACCTGGGACCCCAGGCGCCAACCCCTGCCAGGTGCTTTTCCTGCCCAGTCAGTGCAGAGGGGCAGGGGTGAGAGGTGGCCCCAGTGTCACCCCAGCACCCACAGGGGGACAAAGGGGGACATGAGTGCAATGCGGAGCCCTGGCCGGACCCCATGAGGGCCACGGGCAGGCTGTGGGCAGGGCGGTGCCTGGGCCTCTCTGGACCTTGCTTCCGTGTCCTGGCCGTCACCAGGTGTCGAGGCAAAGGTGCTGTGAGGGCACCGGCGTGCAGGCGCGAACTCATGGCGCAGGGCGCGGGGCATGGGGTGAGGGGCGAGGGCGTCACCCAGTGGACCGGGAAAGGGTATCAGCGGAGGCAGCGACACGAGCTGAAGGTGAGGAGCCGTGGGGACAACAGGTGACCGAACTCGGCTCTCCATGAGACGGCACCATGCCCAAGTTGTTTAATCCCACAGCAACCCCATGGCGCTGGCCCCAGTTTTATTTTCTGCGGTCCTGGGGTCTGAACCCAGGGCTTTCACATTGAGTGGCATTCCCCAACCCTTTTTATTTTTTGAGACACGGTCTTGATAAGTTGTTCGTGCTGAGTTCAAACTTGAGATCCTCCTGCCTCAGCCTCCTGAGGGCCGGGATCTCAGGCGTGCACCACCACGCCTGGCTTATACCAGTTTGTTTTTCCCAAAGCAGGCAATGGAGGTTCTGAGCGGCAGATCTGCCTGGGTCACACGGCTGGCCAGGACCAAAGCGCACCCAGCTGGCTGTACGCAAACCGCCCCTCAGGAAGGTGGCCGCCTGCCCGGGATGGCAGGCCCCGAGCTGCCCAGTATGAGGGCGGTGGGCAAAAGGGGTTGGGGAGCAGACCCTGGGCGGCCTGGGCTTCCCGAGGTGCCCCAGTGACTGATGCCCCCAACTCCAGGCCAGTCCTGGGGACAGGCGAAATGGCCATGGGCACTGCTGGCCTCCCTGACCCTCAGCCAGCCCCATGGCCCTTGGCCTGTCTGCCCTTGGCACTGGGGGGTGACCTGCGCCCTGCCCAACCACCAGCTCTGCCAACTGAGGCAGGGAATGGCAGAGCTGCTCCCCAACCTCGCTCAGATGAGCAGAGGCTGTGGACCAGGTGCTGGAGGGTGCTTTTCCTTTTGAGTTCATGTCTTTAATTGGCTCACATTACAAAGGTCCCCAGGAGGCCCTGGGAGTGGCAGAGTTGCTGTCCCCCCCTCCCCTGCGCCCCCACAGTGCGAAAGGTCCAAGGTTCAAGACCCAGGGGGTGACTAAAAAAGCCAGCGTGAGACAGCACGCAGACACGGGGCCGTCCCACCGCAGCCCGAGGGACCAGCTGCCCCGTCCTGGGCCGGGTCTGGCCTTGGTATCCAGATCTCCGCGGCTCCTCCGGCCCTGCCCCTGGCAAGGTGGGGATGGCAGCTTCCTCCTCCAGCCGTGGGGACACAGTGTGGCGTCAGGATGGACCCCGCTTCCTCCTGAGCCCTGGCCCCCGCCTGGCAGTGTGGCTCCAGGGGCGGAGGGCAGCAGCAGAGGCCAAGGTGCTGCCCACAGTCAGGGCCGGTCCCCTCCGGGGCTCCGGGAGAGCCTGGCCGCAGGGTGGTCACACGCCGGCCCCCAGCTCTCCGATGCGCTGCCGCAGGTGCAAGGCGAACTCGAACATGGTGGCCGCCAGGCTCTGGTGGATGAGGTACCGCGGCAGGCGGCCCTGCGACGGCAGGAGGGGTCACCCGCCTCGCAGGTCGCACGGTGGGGCGTCCGGGGCAGGGACGCAGTGCGGCCCCGGACCCCCCTCCGGCCCCTCCCCTCAGCCTGGCGGGAGCGATGCCCAGAGCCCGGCTTGGAAGAAGGTGCCGGCAGGTGGGGGTGCTGGGCTGGGGGCAGCCACCGCCCGGGCCGCAGAGACCGGGGGTAAGAAAGGGAGGCGCGTGGGCCCCTGCACCCCACCCTCCAGCCAGAAGGGAGGCGCAGGGCCCCCCGAGTCCTCACCTTGAGGTCCGTGTTGAGGATCCAGATGAAGGTGCAGACGCGGGGGTTACTGGCCGACCTGAGCACGATGAAGCCCCCAGGCCCGTTCTCCCCTCTGGGGAGAGAGGCGCTGCTGCGGAGGGCCTCGGCCGGAGAGGGCCCGCAGCTCCCCCTCCCCGCCCGCCCCAGCCCGAGCCGGGGAGCAGCGTGGGGCCTCGGCTGGAAGGGCGGTTGGGAGGCAGCAGGGCCCGCATTCGCCTCCCTCGGCCTGTCACTCTCTCCCGGCCCCACCGAGCACGCGGAAACCCGCTCCAGGGCCGAGGGAGTCGGCACCCGGAGGGGACAGGTCCGCCTGTCACCCAGCAAGCCGGTGGCAGGGCCCACCCGGCCGGATCCCAAGGCCACAGCAGGGGCGGGAGCGGGGACCTGCAGGGCCCAGGGCAGGCGGCAGGAAGACCAGAGAGAGGCCGGCGGTGGCGGGGACGGGGAGGAAGAGGAGGAAAGGGGAACCTGGGCAGCCAGCCTCCCCAGGCGGGAAGATGAGCCCGGGCCCAGCGTGACCACGCCACAGCGCCCGCCCACGCCCGCCCGGCTCTGCCCACGGCCGGGCGCTGGCTGGGGACCCCGCGGGCCAGCTCACCTGACGTATCTGGGCGTCGGCGGCTTGGCGCAGTGCGTGGTGGCGATGCCCGCGGACAGGTACCGGTCTCTGCGCCGCTCGATGCGCCGGACGTTCACGAAGTCCCTGGGGGGCAGGGTTGGCATGGGGCGCCGAAGCGAGGCCCGGCAGGGGGCGGGGGGGGGAGGTCGGGGCCGCGCAGCACTCACCTGGGGGAGACCACGCCGCCCGCAGCGCCGGCCGACACGTCGTAGGACACCAGGGTGTTGTCTTCCACCCGCTGCAGGATCTGAGGGCCCACACGGGGTCTCGAGGTGCCGCGCACCACAAAGCCCAGGGAAGGCGCGAGGACGTCGGGACCCCCGGCCGGCCCCTCCCGTGGGGTGCCGTGCACAGGCCCACATGTCACACTCAGGTTCCGGGCTGGTCACCGGACACTCACTGCTTCCTCCGGGTGCTGCTACGACTCTACCCCCATTGTACAGACAGGGAGACTGAGGCACGCCAGGGTGCGGCTGGGCTCACCTGGCAGGCGGTCACTGTCCTGTTCCACAGTGCCATCCGCTCGGGCTGTAGGATGACTTCCTGGTACACCAGCTCGGCCGGGCAGGGCAGGAAGGTCTGAGCAAAGCAGGGCAGGGTGGGCCACAGGCTCGAGGCCAGCCCTTCTCGCTCCTGGGGGCCTGCAGGGTCCCTTGTGCAGCCCGACACAGCAGAAGGCCCCTAACGCCCCCACTCACCTTCAGGATGAAGGTCTTGCCGTGATAGGGGACCTCAATGGTGTACACGGTGTCTCCGTACTCCTGCAGCAGGGAGAGGGGTGCGGCGGTGGGCTGGGGCGCAGGGAGGACTCACCGAGCTGGGGACATCGCAGCAGCCGCTAAAGAGTGGTGGCTGTGGCTGGTGTAGGGCAAGGCAGAGGGAAGATTTGATCTCGAGTTGAAGGACAGCAAGCTGCAGCTGTGACCAGAGGAACCAAGTCCCCAGGCCCTGCGGGTCCCCAAGGGAACGGGCCAAACAGAGGGGCTGAGCTCTCCTTGCAGATAATGTTGTTTTGATCATGACACAAAACACGGGACGGACACAGGGCCCGGAGCCGGGGGAACAGGGCTTATGGGAGAAGGGGGAGACGATGCCCCCCACCCAGTGGCCGCTGCCTGCAGTGGGGCCCAGGCAGGGCCCAGCCCCTCTCCTTGGGCAGAAATGTGGCCCCGACCCCAGCAGTCCTCGGACTTGTGTCTCAGGCCCCGGGAAAAGGGGCCGAAATGCCTCCTGGGGGGTGCCTCACGTTATTCTTCTCAAACTTCCAGTTCTCTTCCTGGGCCAAGATCTGGTCCACCACAGCGGTGGCCTCCCTGCCCTGGTGGATGTACTCCCGCTCCTGCCGGGGGAGGCAGGGCCGGTCAGCACGCGATGCTCTCCCCAGACTCCCGCCCCGGCCCGCAGCGGTCCTGTGGCCTGAGACCCAGAGCGCCTGGGGCGCGGTGGGGCGGGGCGTGCACAGCCCATACCTGGGCAGAGAAACTTCTTTTCCCTGTGACTTCCTCGTCTGATTCATTGTCAGACCCTGCGGGGAAACAAGCAGATGACAAGGGGTGGGGCGGGTGTGGGCGGCGAGGGGGGTCGGGACAGGAGCACGAGGATGTGGGGGCTCAAAGTGTGCGGGGGGGAGGGCTGTGGCGGTCCCCAGGGAGCCGAGCGGGAACAGAGAGAACAGACCCAGCCCCCTCGCCGCCTCTTCCCAGCCGCCCTCACCTGCAAAGGATTCTGGGGGCGAGTAGAACTGGCCCTCGGAGAGCACCCCGGGGAACAGGGGAGGTCCTCGGGCCACAGCAGCCTGGGCTGCCCGGTACCCTGGGGAGCAGACGTGAGGGCCGTCCGTTGTCCCACACTGAGGACAGTCATGGCGCGGGCTCCCACCCCGCTCTGCGAGGCTGCTCACGGGGGGCAGGAGGCCGGCGACCCCCCCTCCCCGCACAACACCCCCCCACGCCCCCCCCCACACCCCGCACTCACATCGCTCCTCCTCCGCCTCCTGGGGCAGGACTTTGAAGTCCAGGAACCAGGTCTCCACCCACGCAAGGACAAAGGACACGATGGGGAGCAGGTATCCGAAGGCCCCTTTGCTGAGCAGCTGCGTGCAGGGAAGGGGGGCTGAGCTCCGTGGCGGGGGCCCCCGGCCCACACCCGCCCCCGCGCTGGACTCCCTCTGCAGCTCGGGCCTCGAGGCTGGGACTGAGTCTGCGGCAGGACAGCCTGAGGTGAGGCTGCAGGAAGGTGGCTGGGGAGCGAGTCAGGGAGGCCAGCGAGGACCGTCACAGGGTAGGGTTCACCGCACGGCTACCCAATGACAAGGACAGACGCCCCACCACACAGCAACGGCCCCGGTCCAGCCAGACCCCAGCCACTGACCTCAGAGAGGATGACCTTGACAATGAGGAATGCGCTGGACACCAGCGTGGTGACCTGCGGGGTGGGACAGGGAGAGGAAGGCGAGGCGGGGAGGGGTCCTTCCCTCCCCACCCCGCCCCCGGCTGTGCCCTGGGGACCCCGGGGGGGGGGGGGCGCCGGGGTGTCTTACCGCGATCACACACCAGTGCCGCAGCCTCAGCACTGCATAGCCCAGCAGCAGCCCGGAGAAGCGGAAGAAGGCCAGGACCTGGCGGGGTGGGGGTGTGTGTGTGTGTGCCATCGGGGTGAGTGAGTGCCCCGCCCCCGCCACTGAGGGCACCCCCTCTGTCCCAAACCTCCAGGGCCCCTGCAGAGGCTCGCTGGCCTCCGGAGAGAACAGCAGGCTCAGCACTTTTCTGATACCACCTGGATGTGACTGGCTTCTTTCTTTTTGCCTTTTTGAGACAGGGTCTCACTATGTAGTCCAGGCTGGCCTCAAACTTGCAGCTTCTCCTGCCTCAGCCTCCGACTGCTGCGATGACATTCATGCCACCAAGACCAGCTCCTGTGACTTTGGACAGGGCCCCGTCTCTCCCCTCCCGCCTGGGCCCCTGAGGGACCCCCTGCAGATGAGGGGGACAGGAGTAGAGCCTCCCTGGTCCCACAAAGCCAGTGCTACAGGAAGCAGAGAGCCCCGTGATCACACTTTACAGCTCCGGGGCCCCCCAGGGCCACTCACAAAGATGTCGAAGAAGGAGGTTTTAAAGCGGTAGTGGATGATCTCCTGTTCCAGGTTCCTGCGGATGCCCGTGTTGGTCTGGGAAGAAGACACAGAGCTCAGCAGGCGGAAGCAGCTGCCTGGGGCTGTGCACTGCCTGCCTCTCAGCACAGGGAGTGCAGAGGACCTGCAGCAGGGGCTGGCAAGGCTAAGCCACCACCCAAAGGGGACTCAGCCAGAGGCCTGAGACCCTGGGAACCAATACTGTTCCTCAAGCAGCAGCCGGCTGCCATGGTGTGCATCTGTAATCCAGCACTCGGGAGGCTGAGGCAGGAGGATCGCTGTGAATTTGAGAGCAGCCTGGACTACAAAGTGAGTTCAAGACCAGCCTCAACTACACAGTGAACCCGTCTCAGAAACCAAAAACAAACAAAATCAGAAACAAAACAGGAAGCAGACAGTGGGCAGCTCCGGAGGGTGGTGCCGGGTTCAAGTGCTCTGCCCTGGAGGCCTCATGCAAGGGAGGGAGATGCGGGCACCGGACGGTCAGGCCAGGAGCTGCTCCCACGTGGCTGCTTCTCCCTTCAGTCCACCTCGGGGGCTGGCCCAGTGGGTGAACCCTCTGAGCAGGTTTGTGCTTAATGAGCAAAATCTGCCAGGCTTCGCTGGGGGTCAGCAGAGCCCCCCTCAGTAATCCCGCCCCACCCACCACAGCACCCGACCCCTGAGACCCTGGAGACTGCAGCCATTTCCTTGGAGAGGAGGAGCACCAGCGCCCCTGGAAAAGGGGAGAAAACAGGGAACACGGCCCAGGAACCCCGAGGAGGACCCTTCGCAGCCACCTGGATGCGGGCGTCTGGTCTCCTGCAGGTCATCTCAGTCTGGGGGCCCAGGACGGACGCAGACGCTCAGGGTACTGAGCCTGAGTCCCAGGGGACCCTAAAGAGCTGAGGGTGACTCATGCTAGGCAGGGTCAGCAGTCTGGACAGACTCAGACACCCCAACAGCCCTCCACACCCCACTCTGTGGGTCACCTCTAAGACGCCCTGCGCCCGTGCTGTCTGACACCCCCTCTCTTGTGCTGGCCGGGGGAGCCCCCAGCCCGGCACCCAGCCCAGCCCTCCTCCTGCTCTGAGAGAGGCTCCCGCCCCGCTGAACTCCCCCACCCGGAGCTGACCCCTGCCCCATACCCACAGGACCGCAGGGCATGGCGGAGGGTTTGGTCCCTGCTTTGCCCGGCCCTGCACGGGTCACAGAACACGTCCAGGGTCCTGCATGCCCCGCACAGCACAGACCCAGCCAGAGAGCCAGACTGCACCCACCCTGGATGCAGAAATAAAACGAAATGGGTAGCACTCCCCTCAAGCGCCTGCCGAGTGACACAGAGTGATCCCACTTCTGGTTAAACCCAGCGTTGTGAAAGTTTCCCTCACGTCAGAAAACAGTTTGGAGGCAAGGTTCTCGCACTCCGCAGGGAGACTCTGGTAGGCAGGAAGCGGGCAGAGCTGGCACCCTGAGGCAAGTCACTGCTGCAGGGCTCATAAGTGCCCCAGCCCCTGTTATGCGGGATGTCCTGGACGCAGGGTGGGGCTTGCAGCGTTTGCTTGGACGCTAGCTGGGACCTTTGAAAGGAGAATCCCAGGACCTGGAAGTTCCGCAGCCTGGCTCCCAAGTCCCCCACGCAGTGGCCCTGTCACACCGCTGATGCGGGTCAGCTCTGCTGCAAAAGGACAGCTGCCCACCCTCACCCTCAGACCTCACACACCAGCATCAAAGTGTCCTGGGTCTCTAAGCCAGCCCCTTCCTCAAATTTCACTTCTATCAAGAAGGGTACTGTCAGCTGGGTGGGGTGTCGTGTGCCTGTAATCCCAGTGCTCTGGGAGGCTGAGGCAGGAGGATGGAAAGTTCAAATCCAGACTCTGTAACTTAGTGACTTAAGACCTTGTTTCAAAATTAAAAAAAGGGCTGGGGATGCAGCTTAGTGTGAAGGCCCTGGGTTCAATCCCCAGTATAGGAGGGAAAAAAAAGGCTTTGTTAGCTGCATCTGTAGTCCCCATGAATCACAAGGCTGGGGCAGGCAGACTGCTTGAGTTCCCAAGTTCAAGGTCAACCTGGGTAACATAGCAAGACCCACTTAAAAAAAAACAACAAAAAACACCCAAGCAAGCAAGCAAACAGGCTCTGTATTCCTGTCACCCAAGCCTGGGACCTAAAGGAAGGGCCTGTACCACCCAGAAAAGTGGGGAGCCCATGCTGCGGGGTGAGGGTCACGGCCGCGGCGCTCGGCCCAGGTGTGGCCCCTGCAGGCTGAGGCAGCTCTGTCTCCAGGTGGCTAGGCTGCATCTCACCAAAACCTGAGCAGTGGGGAAGTGGGGGTGTTTGCTCTCCCTCCCCACTGCACCCCTGTGATTAGCACAGGGCCTAGGACCCAGCCAGGGCTCGAAACGTGCTGCTGAGTGAAAGAAAGGAGCTGAAGCCACAGGGCAGAGCTAGAACAAGCCGGGAGTCTCAGCAGGCCAGGACGGGGCCCCGCCACCGCCCTTCCCAGGGCGTCCACCAGGGGGCAGCGCGTCACATGGTTGGGAAGCCCAGGCCCAAGGACTGGAGCTCCGTGACCCCATTTTGTCCCGGAAGGTGACAGCAGCTGCTAGGGCTTTGTCTGTCCCACGGGAGAGGTGGCCCGCTCACGTGGCAGGTGGGTAAACTGAGGCCCAGTGACACCACCCCCCCCCCCCCGCCTGGCTGTGCTCCACTCACATTGAGCTCAATGATCCAGAGCAGCGAGATGAACAGCAGGTCGAAGGTGACGAAGAGGCAGAAGGTGCGGCGGACGTCGGAGATGGCCCGGGCCTTCTCTGGGGGTGCTGGGAGGAGGTGTGAGCAGAGGCTCTGGCTGTGGGACAGCGACGTGCCCAGGGACGCCACGGCCGGCAGGCTGCGCTCCAGGTCGCGGGCCAGCTCCCCGGGCAGTTTGCTCATCCTGGTGGTCCCGCGGTGGGTGAGGATCAGGGCCTCAGCGGCAGGGCTGGGAACGAGGCGAGGGGCAGTCAGGGTCCTGGTGGTCACCAAGCCTCCTCGGTCCCCGCAGTGCAGTCCTAGACCCCACCCGCTCCCAGACGCCCCAGGCACGCCACCCTGAAGGGGCCTGAGCACCCTCTGCTCCCACCCCTCCCCAGGGCTCACCCTGGGGCCCCCAACTGGCCACCAACCCACTCCAGGGTACCTGGGCCACCGCCAAGGCCCCGCCCTGGGGCTCAGCCTCGCCCGGGCCGTCAACAGCCTCTGTCCCCGCCCCGGGGAGAGGCCTGGGCTCTGTTCTTTGTTTCCCACACAAAGCACATTCCCTGGGGCTCCCCCTCCCGCCACCCCGGGCCCTGGCAACTGTGCTCGGACCAGGGACACCCTGGAACCTTTTACCCCCCGCGGCCCCAGCCAGGAGAAGGCGCGGGGTCCCCAGGCAGGGTCTCCTCTCCTGCTGCCCAGGAAGCCCTGCTCCGAATGGTGGCACAGCCAGGGCTTTTTTCAAAGCACACGCCAGCCGCTGCCGGCCCGGTCCTGGCCACCCTCACCAGACCGAGGGTGACCTCTGCGCAGCTCTTCCGACCCATGCCACGTGCTGGCCTTGTAGGGTCCCTCTATGGGGCTGCCCTGCCCTGCCCCGCCTCCGGCCCCGGCTGTCCCCACTGTCCGGAATGTCTCTACCTGCCCACCCCCCCCGCCGGGCACAGCAGCGTGGCACCCCTGAGACGACCGCGCACCACCCCACACCTCTCCCTGGCTGTTCTGCTGTGTCCACCCCCTCTCGAGAGCTGGACGTCCACTGCACAGCCGGGGGCTCTAGCCCGCTGGGCACTGCTGTCTCCCCGTGCCCAGCACCATGCGTGGCACAGAACCCAGGCTTCAAATCTGACAGCCGGGCAAACGCTGCACGCAGAGGGGAGCACGGCGAACCGCAGATGAGAACTCGCCCTTCTGGGGCGCCTGCCGCTCAGCTGCCCGACCTCCACGTCAGGGCCACGTTCACGACCACGCAGGACAGGACGGCTCCTCAAAGTCACAGTGGGGACGCAAGGCTCAGAGAGGTGCGCTGACCACCGCACAGTCACAACGCCTAACAACAACAGGAACTGCACCCCAGCTGTCCCTGCCTGCAGCCCCCAGGCCTGGGGTTCCCGCTCCACCAATTCGCAGAGCTATAGGTGGCCCTGTGCCCTGGGCAGGGGCAGGAGGAGGGGTCGATGCCAAGGTGCCCAACACAGCAGCCTGGCGAGGGCTCAGTCTCTGGAGTCTTTTTTTTTTTTTTTTTTTTTTGAGACAGGGTCTCGCTATGCAGTTCAGGCTGGCTGTGAGCCCACTTTGTAGCCCAGGCTGGTCTCAAACTCACAATGATCCTCCTGCTTCAGCCTCCCAAGTGTACGCAACCACACCGGGCTAAGTCTCTGGAGTTGTACACACCCCTCCTAAACCCTGCTAAGTTCATGGCTGGTGGGGTGTCAGCCCCTAAAGCCCCACCGACAGGAGAGGCAGTGACACTAACCGAAGGCCACCCCAACACCACCTGCTCTGGGTCCCCGTGACAAGTCTCTGCGGAGACTTCCAAGGCATGGGAGCCGGGCCCAGCTGCAGAGGGACGCGAGAGCCCTCCGGCAACGGAGCTGGACATCCATCAGCGGAGCACGCGGCCCTGCACATCCTGCACCGTGACAGGTCACAGCTCCGAGGCTGGCGACAGTTCACTTCCTTAGCTCTAATGGCCTCCTGCCTCCGGCCAGGCCTGTTTGCCTTCCTGCCCTTCTGCAGCTTTCACAAAGTAACTTTCCCCGTGAGTTTTCTTTGTATCTTCTTCCTTCTAATCCCTCTCTCATGGCTGTCTTTTTACTGTTGTTTGTTTAAAACAGAATCTGAGCTAGGTGTGGTAGCACAGGTCTGAAATCCCAGCACTCTGGGAGGCTGAGGCAGGATAAACGTAAATGGGAGCCCAGCCTGGGTAATTCTCAGGGAAAGGGTGTCTGAAGATTAAAAAAATAAACAGGCTGGGGGTGTAGCTCAGCGCGGAGTTCCTGGGTTCAATCCCAGTAACATCGAAAAGGAAGTAAAGGGAAGAAGGAAGGCAGGGAGGGAGGGAGGGAAGGAAGACAGAAAAAGGGAAACAGAGAAGAAAAAAGGGAAAGGAACTACCAGAAATTCGGGGTGGGGACGTAGCTCAGTACTGCTTACTCCACATGCACTAAGCCCTGGGTTTGAGCCTCAGCACAGCCACAATGTACCGTGTCACTGTTCCAGAGGCTGAAGTCCAAAGCCGAGGCAACGGCAGAGCCCACTCCTGAGCCTTCCGGCCTCTCCGGCTCCCGCGGCTGCCCCGCCGTCTGCCCTGAACCCTCGCATGCCGTCTTTTCTAAGGACACTGCGTCTCACTATGTAGCCCAAGCTGGCCTCGAACTCGAGCTGCTCCTCCTGCCTCAGCCTCCTGGGTGCTGGCATCACAGGCCTGCGCCACCACGCCCAGTCCACATATATTTTATGATTTTTTTTGGTAGCACTAGAGATGAAACCTAGCCTTGTGTATGAGAGGCCAATGCTAGTCCCGGTGGCCCCATGCCTCAGTGACAGGTGGACCACGGGGACAGGGCTTGGATGTGTAACGCTCTGTCTCGCCACCCGGAGCACCTGGCGCACGGACCCCTCCAGGACGAGGCCCGGAGGCAGTGCGGCTGGGTCAGGCTGCACCTGCGGTCCGTGAGGAGTCGCCGTTCCCTCCGCAGCTTGCACTTACAGCGCCGTGGGAGTTGCTGTGTTCACGCCCGGCGCTCCCGTCTCCGGGCCAGGGCTGCGTCCTCTCCCTGTGCTGGCCTCGCTCTGCGCCTCTGCTCCGTCTCCTTCCTCCACCCCTGGTTGTCCCCCAGCTCCTGCAGGCTCTCGCTTCATTGCCCTGGCTCCTGGCTGTCCTCCCTCCCTCCCTCCCTCCCCGGCAGGGACCGCGGTGGCAGCGGCTTGGGCGTGAGATGCACTCAGTGTACCAGCCGACGCTCACAGGCCCAGCCGCCCACGGGCTGAGAGCCGAGGTGTTGGGCGCGGAGGGTGCGGGCAGGGGGCTCGGGGCTCGGGCAGAAGCAGAGGAAGGGGCCGGGCTTCGGCATCCCCTTGTGGAAGGCGGAGCGCCGGGGCTGAGTTCTGGGGTCAGCAAGCCTCTGCAGCTCTTGGGAGAGGTCGCTGGGTTTACAAAGTCCTTCACACCCCTGCTTTTCTGTGAGACGGGGTCCCACCGTGTGGTCCAGGCTGGGCCCCAACTCGCAATCCTCCCGCCTCAGCTTCCCAGAGTGCTAAGATTACAGGTGTGTGCCACCACGCCCAGCTTCAAGGCTTCCCTGAGGTCAGGGTGAAAATGTGGCTCACTCAGGTGACTTCTAAAGGCCTGGGAACTGCGCCAGCGGACCCAGGCACTGCCCTTGGGCTGCAGCTGGCCCGTCGGCGGCCCGGGCTGGGGGGCAGAGGCTGGTGGCTCCCAGGAGGAAGCAGTGCAGGAAGCAGAGGGGTGAGGCTGGAGAGAGCAGGCCGGCCGCCCAGCCCCCCAGCGGCACCCTGCCGAGCCCAGCCGGCTGCCACCGCCTCCCCGTACCCGCAGAGGTGTGCAGGGAAGAGTGGTGGTGTGAAGCCTGCGCCCAGGGCAGGGCAGAGGAGCCGCTCACAGGCTTGGGGAGAGCAGAGGAGGGCGGCAGGCGGGGCAGGAGGCAGGGCGCAAGGCGGGTTCTGCGGCCCTGGGCTGGGGGGTGCTAATCTGGGGGCCTGAGCAGGTCAGGGGCCTGGGCACCCCGGTTCCGGGAGGTGGAGGGCACTGGGCACAGACTTCTCCCCACCCCGGCTTCTCCTCCGGCCCCAGGACGCAGGGGCTCTGCGCCCATAATGGGGCTTCCCGGCCACAGACCAAGGCAGCTGTAGCACAGAAAAGGAACAGGTTTGCTTCACAAGCCAGGTTCAGAGTCAGACGGATGTGGGACCCGGAGAAAGCAGACTCCAGCCACGCGCAGGGACAGGCCCCGAGGACCCCACCCAGCCCGCGCTGCGCCTTGAAGGGCCACAGGAAGGGACCTGGGGCAACACTGAGTGCAGCAACGCAGGAGCGCCTTCGCCTCCCAGTCCACAGTGACCACAACTTGCCAGGGATGCCCCGCCGCCTGCCCTCGGCCTCCGCAGGTGAGCCTGGTGCGGACCCCGCCTGGCTGGGCTGCTCTTCGTTAAGGTCCGAGAGGGCAAGCGCTGGGTCAGGGGTGCAGAATACAACACCGGGGTGGCTATACCAGGGACTGAGCTCCCCATCCCCCAGCTCCCGATTTCCACGGGTCAAAGGGGCACGGACGATGGGCCCTCGCCAGCACCGGGGTCCCAGGCCAGAGGCCCCAGTCACCTGTCTGCAGCTCCTGCCCACGGCGAGTCTGCAACCCGAACGCTACTGACTTCCCGGGCCAGGCCCAGCTGCTTCGCCTGCTAACGGGGCAGCGTCCTGAGCGGGTCTGTGTGGGCACCACGAGACAGCAGGGCCTGTGAAACGCCAGGGACAGCGCCAGCCACACCACCCCACACCACCCCAACCTAGGCCGAAGTGCCCAAGAGCTGGAGCTCGACCCGGGCTGTGTCAGCTACATCCAGAAAGGACAAACTTTTCCAGGGTGTGCGGCTCCCCAAGCCATCTCCTGATGTGAGGGCAGCTCTGCAACCCCAGGAGATGTCGTCCTAGCCCCACGCTCCCACGGTGCTGGTGGCAGGGGGGGGTCCCCGGGGCCCCCAGCGCAGTACTAAGGGGGTTCCGTGAAGCCGAGCAGGAACTGGGCTACCAGCCAGAAGAAGGGCCCAGCCCTGGATCCCCACCTTCCCGGTCACTTAGTCTCTGTCTCGGGTTCCTCCTCTGGGCAGAGGGCGAGGGGTAGCATCAGGTCCTCAGTGTCAGGGGTACGTGACGCATGGGGTGGCAGGGCCTAGAGTCCCCTGACACGGCTGTGGCTTTGTGGCGGTCAGCTGCTACTCCCGCCTTGTTTTCCCTCCAGACAGAGAGCTGCTAGCACCCAAGGGCTGCAGGGCAGGGCTGGGGCTCCCAGGCAAACAGCCCATCGATACCCAGGGTAATGGGGAGGCACACAGGGCAGGAAGCAACTCCCAGCGATCCTCCTGCCTCAGCCTCCCAAACCTCACAGCCCTGTCCTGAGAGGTATCTTTCAGACACAAACTGTAGGAGAACAGGGACTTCCCAGGGCGAGAAACATTACCCAGGCTCCCAGCGGATGTTCAGGGGATGTGACACTCATGACACCTCTTTGCTGTAAGCCCAGACAGCCCCTCCACAGCTGGGAGTTGAGGAGAACTGAGTCCCTGGGCACCCAAAGGCAAGGTGCCGCCCCATTTCCCTCCCAAGTCCCCACGCACAAGGAGAAGGCTCCAGGTGAGGCAGACCCCTCCCGTCACGAGGGTCAAGGGGCAGGGAGGGACCCCGCAGTCTTGCTCTGGGGCTCCGATCCCCTCTCCTGACCACGGGCTGGCGCAGGACCCACAGCGGCCGGCTCCCCTCTGGGCCTCCCCTGCCTGCTTCCTCACCTGCAGCCACTGCCTCCTACTGGGGTGGAAGTTCAAATGTCACCTCCTGGACAGCTTCCCCCGCCACCTCCAGCTGGCCTGGCCCCTCAGGACTCTGACTCAGCTGTCCCCACCCCACAGCGAGACCTGCGCTTCCCTGACTGCTCTCCTGAGCCCTCGAGGCCAGGCCACCGAGTCCTGCAGGACTCCGTCCCACACGGCCATGTCTAGGAGTCAGCTGCCTCTGGATCTAACGTCTGCGCAGGGGTCAGCATGTGACCTGGAACCAAGAGTCCAAGCCTGTTCCCTCTGAGGCTGTGCGCCCCTGAGGAAGCCCCTGAGGCTCTCTGGACCTCAGTCTGTTGGCCTGGAAAATGGGGGTAAGACAGAACCCGACGCAGGACGGGAAAGGATGAGAGACTGCACAGCTGCCCCCGACCGCGGTGGGCACAGCTCTGCGCGCTGCACACTGAGGTCCGGGGTCCTGCTGCGGGGGGGTGGGCGGCTCACCTCACGGGGCCCAGCAGGGATGGCACCTTTGGGCTCTCCTGCCACCCGGGTTCAGCGGCCCCGGTCCTCGGCCTGGGGACCGCTGGCCTCTGGCCCCTCCCACCCCAGCCACCGAAGCTTTGCGCGCTCCCAGAGAAGCAGAAGTGTGAGGAGAGGAGGCGCCACGCCGATGGTATTTTAGTGAAATAACCTCGAGAAGCCAGCGCGGCCCCCTTCCGCCTTTGCTTTCTGCGCGGGAGGAAGAGGAAGGAGAGCTGAGCTGAAACCGAAGGCGAATCCTTCCCGGGCTCCTCCTCCGCACAGGGCTCGGCCGGGCGCCCTAACAAGACCTGCCCCGCCCCGCCGCCCCCGCTGAACCGCTGCTCCGGGACCCCACCACCCCGACCCCCCGCGGCCCCGCCGCGCCCTCAGTGCCGCCGGGTAGGATGGGGCTGCGGAGGTCAGGTCCTCAGCGCGTGCTGGGGTGCATGGGCGACAGCACGGCTCACCCAGCGCCAGGGCTGAGCAGACAGAGCCAGGGTCAGGCAAGGCCCAGCCCCAAACACCAGGCTCCCAGACCTTGGTTGTTCAGGCCAGGTGTTTCCTCACAACAGTAAAAAGCCTGGGAACCAAGCCTCTTAGGGTCACCACCTCTGCAGAGCCACCTCTGGCATCTCTCCACTGGGCTCCCAGAGCCATCTCAGAACAGACCCACAGGGGTGCGTTCTCCTGACGTCGGGTCTGGGCCTTTGTCACCCCGAATCCTCAAGAATAAATGCAGATCTCCCGCCCGAGCCCAAGCCCGGGTGTTTTTATTTACTGACGAAGAGCCAGGCTCTGCGGCTCTGGGAGAGAATGAGAAGGGAGCTGCATCTACTGCCCTTAAGAAGCTTACGAAAGCCGGGCGTGGGGGCGCATGCCTGTAATCCCAGCACTCGGGAGGCTGAGGCGGGAGGATCGTTGTGAGTTCGAGACCAGCCTGGGCTACAAAGTGAGCTCAAGGCCAGCCTGAACTGCATAGCGAGACCCTGTCTCAAACACACACACACACACAAAAGAAGCTTACGAAATTAAAAGTCATAACTAATCCAGGCGCTTTTGGGGTTTTCTGGGCAGAACTGGGGATTAAACCCAGGGACTCACACATTTCTACCCAAGTTACCTTCCAGCCTTTTAAAATTTTTATTTTATTTTTTGTCTTTTTGAGACAGGGTCTCACTATGCAGTTCAGGCTGGCCTTGAGCTCACTTTGTAGCCCAGGCTGGTGTTGAACTTGCAACGATCCTCCTGCCTGCTTCAGCCTCCCGAGTGCTGGGATTATAGGCGTGCACCCCCATGCCCCCCCTTTGAATTTTACTTTGAGCTACACTGTCGTTCAGATGCCTGGCTGGCCTCCCACTTGTGATCCTCCTGTCTCGGTCTCCGGAGGAGCTGGATTACAAGGATGAGTGGCTGCAGCAGCTTGTCCAGACTGTCCTTGTGTGTGCCACGGTAACCGTGTTTAGCGACCCAGCACTCCTGTGCCTGGCAGGATCACCCCTCCACATATCTCACTTAACCCTCCAAGCTCCACACGGCAGGCACATCACTCTCTGCTGTTCGAAGGGAGAGACTGAGACACTGACTCCACCGAGGCTGCAGGGCAATGTGAGAAGCCAGGCAGGCTGACTCGGGGGTCTGCATGTCCAGCTGCGCTGTTAGGGACACAGTGCTGCAGGGACAGAGGGAGTGAGCCCCAGAGCTGGAGAAGGGGACCCAGGCTAAGGCTGCCTGGAGGGGGTCTGAAGAGTGAGCAGAAGGGAGCCCAGCAATTCGAGAAGACAGAGCGCTGCTGTGTCCAAGGGAGCAGAAACGTGGACAGCAAGGTGTGAGCTGAGAAAACCCCAAGGCGCTGTATTACTCCAACTTAAGAACCGCAGGATTCAGCCTCTTAAAATAGGCTGAGGCAGGAGAAGCAAGCAGAGTTATAAAGGAAGTGACTGTCAGATTTGTGTTCTAAGAGGCCTGCAAGAGTTAGTGTAGGGCGACTGGGTTGCACGAAGTCGTGATTAGAAGCTGCTACTAAAGCCAGTGCGGTGGTGCACGCCTGTGACCCCAGCACTAGGTAGGCTGAGGCAGGAGAATCGCTGAGTTCCAGGCCAGCCTGCACTACATAGTGTGACCCTGTCTCAAACAACAAAAGCTGTTATGAACCTACAGCAGTTGTCCTGGCAAAATACATCTACGAGGGTGGACACAGAGGAGAGGGAGAAAGACCGGAGGTTCCGGAAGTCAGCTGCTGCTAGGTCACCTCTTAGATGTGGAAACCGAGGGAGAAGAGGAAGTGGAAGGCGGGAAGAATGGATCTGCAGGGAGATCGGTTCAGCTGTAGCCTGTGGGCGCCGCTGAGGTGGATGTGTCCCATAGGCAGCTGCACGGCCTGTGGGGCCCCGGCACCAAGATGCGGACCTAGGTCTTTACTGCAGGAGAGCTGAAGCCTGGGGAACAGACGGGATCCCTGGAGTCAGAGCTCAGACGGGGCGCCGGACAAGGGGGACGCTCGGGAGGCGGGGGCGTCCCCGGGGTCGGCGCCAGGACTTCGCCTCTTGCACTCAGCGTGGTGTCAACAGCGCTTTGGCTCACAAAGTTACTCCCCCCGCACCCTCCCCCGCGAAAAGAAAGGCCTAGTGTGGTGTTGCACGCCTTTAATCTCAGCACTTGGGAGGCTGAGGCAGGAAGATCGTTGCGAGTTCGAGGCCAGCCTGGGCTACAAAGTGAGTCCAAGGGCAGCCTGAGCTGCATAATGAGACCCTGTCTCAAAAAGACAAACAAAACAAAGTTACTCCTAGCCATTTCCAAGCAAGTCGGGGAGCCAGCGTACGACACTAAGACGCAGACCTAACGGGACGTGAGGAGGTTTTCCCCTGATTCGCAGATCCTCAACTTCCCGCGATGCCCAGATGCAGCCCCCCTCGCCTCTCCCCGGTCGGTCTCGGAAGCCCTAGCGAGCCGTCTCCGGGGCGCAGCCGCCGAACCCGAGCCTCGCGCCAGAAGCAGCTCGGCCGAGCAGAGGAAGGGGGCGGAACCCAGAACGCGGGGGGCGTGCGAACAGGTCGGACGGAACCTGGAACGGACACCGGGCGGTGAAGCGGCATCCGGCGGGGAGAGAGCGCCTTCGTACCACCCCTGGGGCCCCGGGACGGCTGTAGAACCCACCTGCTCCATGGCAGCCGCGGCCCTAGCTCTTCCGGACCCTGGCGCAGTCCAGCCCCGCGGCCTCGGCAGCGCCTCCGAGCGGAAGGAGATCGCCTGGCGGCGCCACTTCCGCCCCTAAGCCCGCCCCGAGAGCAAGCCGGGAATTGCGTAGGGCGGAGCCCCGCCCCGGCCCCGCCCCCTGAGCGCCCGCGGAAGGTCCGGAGTGCGGCTGCGCTGAAGTTGGGTCTGAGAGAGGGTTGTGGCTGCAACCTTCTGTGTCCGGACACCTCGTCATCGCCCGCTTTTCTTCCCTCCCCTGTGAAAAGACAGGTCTCGGCACAGTTATTTACAAAGATTTATTACAGCACTGGAGGGATTCAGGCCTGGAGTCGGGAGAGAAGGGGAGGGGGACAGAGTAGCTGGGAGGGGAGCCAGGAGCGCCTGGCTCCCCCGCCTGTGTCCCCTCTAAGACGTGTACTAGGCGGCATTCCCGGCATCAAGCACAAACAAAACGCAACGAAGCGGCCCCTGCCAGTCCATCTTCCAGGCACGCAGCGGGGGAAGGGGTGATCAGAGCTCTCCAAACGTGGAAGCTGTGTACGGAGAAAGATCTGAGTCCCGGGGCCTGGCAGACGCTGGTGAGGGGCGGTGACTCGGAGTCCAGCGGAAAGCGAGGGCGGAGAGGATCTAAGGGCACCCGCACGTTCTCACCACTCCTTTCCCCAGATCTTAGGGTCCTGCCCTGTGGGTCTCCTGTGCCCAGGGGAGAGGATCTGGGGAGTGGAACTGTGGAGAGCAAACCCTTGTTTCTGTTTCCTGAATTTTCCAACGTGGGCTTCCTCCCACCCCGCCCCGTCGGGTGAGAGGAGGAAGGACTGGCGAGGACGGGCACCAGGGACTCTGGGCATCAGCCAAAGGTGGGCAAAGAAGCAAACACAGACCAGCCTTAGTCTTCTAGAAGTTGCAGCCCTAGCAGGGAAGGAAAGGGCACCGGATAGGGCAGGGACAGAGTGGCTTTCTGGGGCAGCGATGCCCCCTCCACTTCCTCCTGGAAGATGCGGAGCTGCACTTATGTGCCAGGCTCAGGGGGGCCCGGGCGCTGGGGTTCCTCCCCCGGCTCTGCAAGGCAAGAATAGGGGGACTCAGGGCCTGGTCCAGCCTCCAAGCCCCGGCTGCCTCCCTGTCCCGCACTCCCAGCCTTACCAGTTAGTGCTGGGCCTTGGTCCTCGGAGCTGCCATCTCTCTGGGGCTCATCCAGAGGGGGTGGGCGCTCCCAGAGCCCCTCCAGACCCTGGCCACAGGTTACCTTCTGCCCTGCTGGGGTTGGGAGGAAGGAATAAAAACGCTAGCTGTGAGTGTCGTCTGCTTGTCCTGAAGCAAGAGCTAAGTCTGGTGGCTGAGGCCAAGCCTGCGGAGGCTTCATGGCATAGTGGTTTATTTGTCTTTTGAGACGAATCTTCACAGTGTGGCCTCCAACTTGCAGGGATCCGCCTGCCTCAGCCTCCCCAGAGCTAGGATTACAGGTGTGCATGATCATGCCTGGCTCCCTTGGTAATCTTGTCATGTGACCCAGTACCTTCCTGCTTGTCCCAGGGGACAGTCTCCTCTCACCTCCTCTCCACCTGTTCTGCTGTCTTCTAGCCCTCAGGTGCAGACCCAAGCCATCTTGTTAGGGTGAAGGGCAGAATGTGTCAAGGGTTTGTGTGTGTGTGTAAGAGTGATCAACCATTTGTCATTCCCATAAATGACGGGACAAGGTCACCCTGTACCAGGAGGGATAGAAGCCACACAGCCTCCCACAGCCAGGCCTGCAGAAACGACCATGGGAGAGGTGAATGCTTCTGGCCCAGAAACTCTTGGGACCCTCCTGGAAGTGTCTGGATCCGGGACCCTTGGCTGAGGCCTTCTCTGCAGGTCCTGGTCCCCTCCCTGCCCACTTCCCCCCAGGCCACTGAGGTCCAAGGTTCTTAAATCCTAAATTCTCGCTGTGGACACTAGAGGGCACCCTCCCACCCTCTCCTAGGAAGAAGAGGGGAGCTTGTTCCCAGGTTCTGGAGAGGGCAAATCAGCCCCAAAGAGACCATGTCCAGGGCTCAGAAATGGAAGCAGTGGTGGGGGAATGGGCTCCCTCAGTCCTCTCTCCCAATCTCCTCCTTGACGCTCCTCCTTGACTGAGGCTCCCAGACGCCTCACTGTCATGGGCGGAAGTCTTTTTTTCTTGTTGGTTGGGTGAGCTAGGGTCTCGTTAGCTCAGTCTCGCTAGTTCAGGCTGGCCTTGAAGTCACTGTGTAGCCCAGGCTGTCCTGGCACTCACTGAGATCCTCCTGCCTCAGCCTCCCAAGTGCTGGGATAATAGATGTGCACCACCAGGCCTAGCTTAGAAATACTTTTTTTTGCCTGTAGTCTCAAACTGCACGAGGCCTTGCCTTAATGCTCAGGGAAGAGAGGAGTTCTCAGGGGAGGGAGACTAGGGGAGGGAGAATGGCAGAAGCCCAAGGCTCAGATGAGGCCACTGTGTGGACCCCGTGGGCAGGGACGAGGAGGCCCCTGCGCTGTTGCAGGGCCAGCACAGTGCCCCAGGACGGGTCTGCAGGACACTCGTGGTCATGGCATGGCCCCTTCCGCTTACCAGAGCCCCTGATGCCCTTCAGGACCTCAGCCTGGCTGTCCTCTTCCTCCTCCTCCTCATCGTCCTCCTCCTCCTCCTCGTCGTCCTCTCTCGGGTACCCCAGCTCCCGCAGCTCCCCCAGCTCATCCTCCTCCTCCGAGCCCTGGCTCTCGCTCAGGTTGCTGATGGTCTGCAGGTGAGACTCCGCGATGCGCTGCACGGCTGCCAGGGCCCGGGGAGGCAGGGTTGGCGGGGCCCAGGCAGCAGCCCCAGCTCTGCCTCCCGGGCTCCGGGCCACCGCCTTGGGCCCAAGTTCCAGGCCAAACGCTACAGGCCCTCGGGCGGGAGCAGCAGCAGGGGGTAGATTGCCTCGAGTTTGGTTCTAAGCTGTCCTGAGACGCTGCCCCATGGAGCCTGGCACCAGACTGGGCAAGTCCAGACGGGCACAGCAGCGGCTTGGCATTCCCTGGCTGGGGGCTTCGCCAAGGACCCAGGACTGCAGCCCATGGTGACCAGCTCAGCCCCGGCAGACTCGCCCGCTCCTTTGTGTGGGGAGGGGCGGGTGTCAGTCTGCTTAGGGCTCACTGCTCACTCGGATCCTGCCCCACCGTGCTGTGCCCACCCCCACAGTGCCACCCAGCCTTAGATGCCCATCCGCAGCCCCTGCTGCGGGTTCCAAGGCTGGGATGGATCCTGGGACTGAGGATGCCATTGTCCATGGCCAGGAACGTCTGTGCCTGGGGAAGTGACCTGCTCTGGTGTGGCCCCCAACATCTCTGACCCACATCCCCAGCTCCCAGCTCCCTCTGCGCTGACCTAGAAAGCTGCCAACACCCCACTCCAGGGGCCTGCTCCAAGCACACCCAGGAAGGAGCCGTGTGGCAAGTTTCCGGATGAGGGGCCCAAACTCCAGGTTGGAGGATGGGCTGGGGTCGGGGCAGAGTTGGTGGCGAGGGGCCACGAGGCTGGTGGGATCAGAGAGTGCACCCTCAGAACACCGAGTGCACAGCCCCGGCCCAGCGGGTGCGGTTGGCAGTCCCCGGGCTCCCCAGCCTCCCAAGCCAGGGGTCGATCCAGCCTGGAACCCTCCAGGGCAGTGACAGGGCCCCGTGCTCCTGCCAACTCGGGGGTAGGTACAGAGGACGCATTGTGTTGCCCGCACCTCCTGCCGGCCCTGGGCAGGCTACCCAGGCAATAAAAGCGCAATAAATTGCCCTGCCCTGGCCTTGGGGACTCGGCAGAGCTTCACCTTGGCGCCCACCTCTGCCCCCAGTGAAGGCTTGGCGTGGTCCACCCTCCCCCCAGGGTCCTTAGTCCCCAGGACAGGGCCTCCTGTGCCAGGCGCCCTTGTGCTTGGGGTGAGAGGAGGTGGCGGCCGCAGGCCTGCTGCGGGAGAGCAGCAGTCGTGAGCCGTGGTGACGAAGGGTGTGCACGCCGTGAGCCTCCTCTGGCCTCACTGGGCCTGCGGGATCCACCTCTCCGTCCCTCCCACAACTGTCCCTTCCAGCTTCTCCATCTCTGGGGCCCTGAACGCCTCCCTAAACCAAGTCTCCCTTTATCTTTTTTCTTTTTGGGTTTTGAGACAGGGTCTCACTATATGTAGTCCAGGCTGGCTTTGAACTCACTGTGTAGTCCAGACTGGTCTCAAACTCCATCAATCCTCCTGCCTCAGCCTCCTGAGTACTACGATTACAGGGGCGGACCACCCCACCCGGCTAAATCCCTCTGTTTCAGCGCCACAAGGCCAGCACAGAAGTAGACGGTCATGCTTTTCCCCCTCCCACCTGCTCACCCCAGCCCACCCCACGCCGGGAGCCAGAGGGGCTGTGGGTGTGGCCGGGTACAGCATGTGCTTAGCACACACCGGGCTTGGTTCCCAGCACCCCTCAAAAAGGCTCCAGGGGACAGTTGTTGTCCCTCATGTTCCTGAGAAGTCACCTCTCCCTCGGCCCTGCTCTGGCTCCTGGGGCTGTGTAGGAGGGGGGCCCTTGGCACCCAGTCAGCGCCCTTCTCCTTCAGCTGTGACTCCCGTGGCTCCCTGGCCAGAGACCAGGCCTGGGCCCCTAAGCCCCTGTGTCGCCCTGCCGCCCCTGGTTCCTCTGACCCCTCTAACCCAAGCTTTCCTTGCTCCGGTGCTGCGAATCGACCCAGGGCGTGTTAGCGAGCGTGCCCCCGTGCCCAGCAGTGTGGCTTGGTGCACCCCGGGTGCGGCCCAGGGCGTGGGGGCCCTGCCCGGGGGCGGCCGGCCCAGACTGGCTTAGGGACATGCGGACTGGGCCGTGCTCTTGTCCCTTGGAGCCAGCCGTCCCTCTCGTTTCCCCCACGGCCCGCTGCAAGGCTGCCGCTGCCCTTTCAGCTGCCGGGCACCTTGTGTCTTGCAGGCGGGACTCTGACAGCCCTGGTGGCCAAGTCGGAAGCTGTGCCTCCCGCAGTGTCAGCCCTTCCCCGTCCCCGTCCTGCCCCCCCCCTCCGACCCCGGGCGCGTGGCGGAGGTGGTACCTTTCAGCGAGGGCGGTGTGTAGGCACAGGGGTTGGGTCTCTTGGACTTGAGGTGGTGCCCCTCTCCTGAGGCTCTCTGCGGGCAAGAGAGGGTTCAGGGGCCCCTGGGGCTTGGCCCTCCCCTCCCCGCACTCATCCCGCCGAAGGAGGAAGAGGACCCGATGGTGGCCTGGCCCTAGAGGTGCCACTATATGCTAATGTGCCCTCTGGGAGTGGCGCTGCATGGCACCTTGTGTTGGGCACCTGGCACCGTCCCCTCCACCCCAAGGGCCAGGCGTCCCTCCTCCCTCGGGCCCAGGAGACTCACCTGGTGGGGGGAGGCCTCCTCCTCTGTGGAGCCCACAGGCACATGGCACCGAGGGGCAGAGAGAGCAGCGAGAGAAAGAACCCGTTATGGGGAGGAAAGTGAGCCGTCCCCTCCCGGCGCTGGGGGGCCGGTCAGCGAATGGCACAGGCAGTGCTGGGCCCCCAGACCCGACCCACTCCCGGGCCGCAGCTCTGTCCCCTGCTGTCCCCCGGAAGGGGTGACTGGGCGCAGGCCAGGGGCCTACCTGGCGAGGAGTGCTCCGAGAGCCGGAACAGCATGGCAGGGGTCGGCCTCCGGCGCCGGATCTGAGGAGATGGAGGGGGCAGGATAGACACCTGCGGGACAGGCGCCCCAGGTCTGCCCCCCCAGCCCCAGGCAGCAGGGAGCAGCGCTTTGGAGTCCCCAGGGAGCCTTTGAATCAAAGACTCCCAGAGCGGAAGGAACTCTGTAGCTCCCCGGCCCCTTCACTGTACACAGATGAAAACCCCAGGCTCAGAGAGGTTCCGTAATGTGCTTGAGGTCACACAGCACACACCAAGTCCAAAGGACTAAAAAAAACTCCGAGAGTCCAGTCTCCTGGTTCCCAGCCCTGCCCTGTCCCACTCCCTGCCACCCCAGAACCAATGTCTTCCCTTCCATCTCCTACCCAGAGGCCTTCCTCTTCCAGTCTGGACACTCTGGGAGGACATAGTCCTGCCCACCTAAGATCAGCTCTCGGGCCCCAGAGAAGCTGGGTCCAGGCTCTGAGGGAGACCCAATGGGGTACAGTGGGCACTGCCGAGCCCACCCTGGGGCACCCTAGGGTCTCGTCTGGGGTGCGCTGGAGGCAGGGCCAGAGCCCATCAGGTAGCCCTTATGGGGCTGGGGAATGCTCCACAGGGGCCCTGCCCCGCCCCCAGCACGGGATCAGGCCAACTGTCACTTAAGTAGGTCCCCTCTGACCTCCAGGGAAATGCACCAGGAACGAGTGAGTTACTCAGAAACTGTCACCTCCCCCTGCCGAATCCCTGCACTGCCCTCCGGATCCCACGCTGCCCAGGTCGGCTGTGAACCCCACCTGCCCGCCCCTCCGCAGGCCACTTGGCCCATCCTCCCTCCGTGTCCCCAGCAACAAGTGCCCTGCTAGGCTTCGGCCCGGCTGGCCACCTCTCCCTCTTGCTTTCGGGCTGTAGGGCCTGAGAGCAGAAAGAGCCAGAGCAGGGTCTGTGTGCCCAGCGGGCACGCAGGGTGGGAGGGGGTGGGGGTGGGGAGCAGCAGGGCCCGGGGCCTCGGGCTCCGCGGGTGCAACCCGGCCAGGCGAGATGTCCCGTTTCTCACGTGTGGCCGGTTCTGGGGCTGGCACCGTGGCGGGTGGTCCTCGTGGGAGCCCGGGAAGGGGACTTGTGGGGGGACCGGGAGGGTGAAAGGACAGGCACCCCCCCCGGAAAGGACGGCGCCCCAGGAAGGACGGTCCCTCGCCCAGCTCCCCGACGTTCTCGGCCACATTCCCAGCCAGGGATGCGCCCGGAGCCCGGGAAAAGTTGCGCGAGTGTCCGGCGAACTTGGGGCTGCGCGGCCCGCGGGGACCCGGCGGGGACCCCGGCCCCGCACCCCACCCCGGACGCGCGCC